AATCAGAGGACAGAGAAGATCTGCCACAGGCCACGCCTCCAGAGTGCCAAAAGCCCTTACAGCCGAGCGAGCAGGAGTCAGAAACCGAGCGCGCAGAGGCTGCCGCGCGCGCACAGGGGCTGCCGCGCGCGCACGTTTTCCTCTGCCGTGTGCTCGTTGACAACGCGCGCACGCAGGTTTGTCACTCGTGCACATCCTTGTGCGCTCACAGACACAGTTTGCTCCCTCTCAGTGCACAAATGACCTCTCGCCATGTATATTTTTGCTCGCGAGTCCCGTTCACACGCGCGCTGTGGACCCAATGCGCGTGCACGGGTTGTGGCACGCTTCAAACGCCGTAGAATTCCCTTCATCTGTCTCTCTTCTTACCCTGAAGCTCCATCACTCTGGACCAGGGTCCATCTGGACTCATCAGACCAGTTTTAATAATGGACAGTTCTTAACCCAGTTTTAGTCATTTCTGCATCTCCTTAGATGTTTTACCTGCTTGATGCCAATGATCTGACCCTTCTCACACAGACTAACATATTTTTCACGACCACCAGATGTGTGTTTCCACCTGGTTGTTTAAGAAATGAGAAGCAGTTCATTGCACTAGTTAGGGTTAAATTACCTGTTGCTGCTATATCCAATAGGAGACTGGTACCTAACTGCTTAGGCCCTGTCCACACGTAGCCGGGGATCTGCCAAAACGTAGATATTTTTCTACGTTTTGGCCTGTCATCCACACGGAAACGGAGTTTTTTCACACAAAAACGGATCTTTTTAAAAACTCCGGCCAAAGTGAAGATCTGCGTTTTCTCCGTTTTGGGTGTGTCTGCGTGTGGACGGACAAAACCGGAGTTTTAAGGTCCGCAACGTCACTTTCCGCGACAAAAAAATGCTGACATCACGTGTGCGACCTGTGTTTACACTAGCCGACAGCATGGACGCCCTCAGAGCTGCGCTCGCTTTATCAATTGTCCAAGCGCTTTCTGCTTGTTTGTTTTTGCAAGAGGAATTACTGCTCCTTGCGGAAGACCACAGACGAAGGACGAGGTTAAGAACGGGGGAAGTACTGCCACCTACAGGTCTGGCATGTCCTTAACAACGTATTTATCCGGGTACGTGTGGACAGAGTTTATTTTAAAACGAGGTGGTGTGGATGCAAGTTTTTGGAGGGGCGGATATTCTTTTTTAAAAAAAAAACCCGGCTACGTGTGGACTAGGCCTTAGTTAAATCCAGGTGGGGACATTTTTTTTTAGCTGGGAAGCGTAAAACTAGAGTTTACAGGCTTGCTGGTCTGCTTCTGGTCGAAAGGGAAAACAATATCAAACAAGTAAAAAGAAATAGAAGAAACATGGAGCTGCCCTTTTCTTTACCTACAAGGATTACCAAAGTAACCAATGCTGGAGTTCTTTGTTTGGTAAATATTTTAAATACATATTTTATTGTAAAATGAAAACATTTATCTAATTTCATACACAAAAACAATTTTTACATCTGACTGATAATATGAAAAATGAAACATAATGCTCTCACCTCTCGAGATGTGGGTTTGCCTCTAAAAAAATCATGGTTTAATGAGCTGTGGGGGGGCTGGAACTTTGGCTGCAGGAAAATACAACCATTAGCTATTGCCTCGAGTGGGGCTGGGCCTTCATATGGGAACCCGAAGCCAATAAAGAGCTGGGGAGGGGAAGAAAAAAATTGCATCAAGCTTTTAAAATGTATAGATTATTTTAAAATATAATCAATAATGAAATGGATTTGTATTTCAAACATGTTTGAATTAAATCAGTTAACATACTCTTGTCTGTGAAAAATACAAGTCAGGATAATCCAGCGGATGATGTCTGCATGCAGCGATATGTGGGGGTACCTTGGCTTTGCGAAGCAGTTGCTGCAGCTCGTGTTGGGGCAGCAGACCATGGTTCTTTACAAATGGGGGCACCTCTGGAGGTCTCTGGGTCTCGTAGTACACGGTGCCATGGACCTCCATGTACCTGTGCAGGATCTCCATAAAGCTCTCCTTGCCCTGCTGGAAGATGAGCAGAAAAAGAAGGACTGGTCATATTTGGCTTGAGGGATAAAGACAGAGGGGTTCATGAAAGGAATGCCATAAAGAAGAAAAATAGAGTTTTTATCCAAGGAAAGTGTTCTGTTGTCGTTTATATTTTTGGAGAGCTGTCTAAGTGTGTCAGCAGCTTTTATCTGTCTATATTTGATGCTCTTCATCGAGACACACTATTTACAGTGGATATGTAATGTAACATGTACATAAACAACATGTTAGAGTACATTTTTGCTTGTGTTTTGTCTAAGAAAACAATAGTTGTACAACCCATTACACTTTTTACAACCTGGGCTGCCACCTTACTGAGGTGGAGGGGTTTGAGTTTCCCAGTGATCCTTGGAGCTAAGTCGTCTGGGGCCCAGCTGGTTTGGGGTTGCTGTCAAGCTGAAGAAAGAGTCCTGTAGGGTCCTTTTGTTGGTGGGACTCCAGAGACATCTGATAGGTACCAGCAGTTCGAGCAGAATTCATATCGGGTGGTTGTGGAGGAAAAACCCGGAGTGAAAGAGTAGTTTGATGAGCCCATGGAGAAAAACTTCTGTACAGCTTCTAGGAGATTCTGGTCTACCATCCAGCACCTCAAGAGCGGAAAGCAGTGCACTACCAACACTGTTTACACCTCGACTGGGGACATAGGTCAGACTGGGCCGGAGTACTTTCAAGATGTACTCAATTCCAAAGGCACGTCATCCAATGAGGAAGTGGAGTCTGGAGATTTTGGTTTGGGCTCTCCAATCTCTGGTGCTAAGGTCAATGAGGTGGTCACAAAGCTCCTTGGTGGCGGACAAGATTCACCTGGAGTTCCTTAAAGCTGTGGATGTTGTAGAGCTGTGTTGGTTGACGTGGTTATATTTCATAGACATCAGGGGCAGTTCCACTGGATTGGCAGACCGGGGTGGTGGTCCCCTTATTTAAAACGGGGGACCAACCCTATCGGATAGTTAAACCTCGGATCCAGGAGGAGCAACGTAGTTTTCGTGCTGGCCGTGGAGTGTGAGTGGGAATTCATCCAACCAATCTACATGTGTTGTGTGGATTTGAAGAAGGCATTTAACTGTGTCCCTTGCACCCCTGTGGGGGTATTTTGAGAGTATGGGGTACCTGGCTCCTTGACATGGGTTGTTAGGCCCCTGTATGACCAGTGCCAGAGCTTGGTCCACAATGCCGTTCCAAGTGAGAGTTGAATTCTGCCAAGGCTGCTCTTTGTTAATGATTCTCTTCATACATTTTATGGACAGAATTTCTAGGCACAGCCATTTAGGTGGCCTAAGGATCAGGTCTTTGCTTTTTGCAGATGATGTGGTCCTGTTGGCTTCATCGTGTTCACGTTCATGTTGAACTTTATTTATACAGTGCCTTCACATGGCCCATGGGCCAAACGATGCACTATACATCACCGTAAAGGCAACAATGTACACATAAAAACATAAACAAAAATACGTGGACTAAAACAAACATTTATAAAACCCAATTATAAACAGTTAACCATCCAGCTCAGCGCCCCTAGTTAAAAACAAGTTTGGACCTAAAACATGCAACAGCTGCCCATTAGCATAGATCATTGTGACTAAATGCCACTGAGTAAAAATGTGTTTTTAGACGTCTAGTAAGGGTGATAGGCAAAGGGGCCGTCTTCCAAAAACCCTCCACAAGACTCGCGGCGACAGAGCGTTCTCTGTGGTTGGTCCCAAACTGTGGAACAAGCTGCCACTCAAGATCAGGACCACACAGAGTCTAGAGCATTTTAAATCCCTTCTTAAGGCGCATTTTTTTTAATTTGGCGTTTAATGCAGGCTGACTTGAGCATCTTAATAGTTTTTAACAGTTTTTATCATAGATTGTGACTGTTGTGTGCTCATCTTATTTTTAGGTTTTTATTGTTGATTTGTTTTACCTTGTACAGCACTTTGGGTGTAGCTTTGCTGCTGTAAAAGCGCTCTATAAATAAAATTGGCCTTGACCTTGACCTTCTTCATGTCTGCTGGCAGATTATTCCAAAGATTTGGTGCCAGGACTGAGAAAGCGTGCTCCCTCGTGATTTTAGTCTATGCTTGGGCACTATCATCAGTCCTTACCCTGCAGACTGAAGGGGTGCGGCGGGGTGTATGGATGAATTAGATCTGACAGATATTGGGGAGTCACCCCCTTCAAGCACTTAAAAACAAACAAGACAACTCTAAGATGACTCGATTAGAAACTGGAGGCCAGTGCATGGCCACAAAAGCTGGCGTGATGTGCTTTGACCTCCAGGTACCAGTCAGTAACCTGGCTGCCAAGTTCTAGACTACCTTAAGTCTTGTTATAGAGGCCTGCTTGATGCCTGCATAAAACGACTTACATTAGTCCAACCAGGAGGTAATGAAGGCGTGAGTTACCATTTCCAAATGTTTGTGTGAGAGAAACGGCTTAATCCTGGCTATTCGCCTGAGATGGAAACGGCAAGATCTCACAGTTCCGTAAACCAGGCTGTCCAGTCTGAGCTCAGCATCAAACTTCACCCCCAGATTGGTAACCACTGCCCTCTCACACGGTGCTAAAGAAGACAAGTCAACTCCATGGCCACCTTCATGGCTCTTTGTAGGACTAAACATGATAAAAATGGGAAAAACTAAAACTGTAAAAGCATAAAAATGACAAAACACACATACTATTACACTATATGACAAAAAGCTAAGATGAAAGTTTGTCTTCAATCTATTCCTAAAAATTGCGAGAGATGGAGTTTGCCTAACATCCATTGGAAGGGCATTCCATAATCCAGGTGCCAATATTGAAAAAGCACGACCCTCGTTTGATTTTGATCGTTCTATTGGCACTTCCAGCGGCAGCTATCCTTCCAAACAGGGCCCATGAGTTCATTACAAGTGTATAAGGTCCAGCTGACAAGAAGAACAGGCCCCATGCAAGGCCTTGTATAAAAAAAAATTAAATAAGAAGAATATTAAAATTAGTCTGAAAATGAAATAGAAGCCAGTGAAGACCTACCAGGACTGGAGAAATTAGACTATTTCCTTAGTGTTTATTAAAAACTGGATAACCTCGTTTTAGATCATCTGTAGACAGGTAAGAGAAGTTTGGTTGGTGCTTGCATCTAAAGACTAAACCTCAACAAACTTCTGCAAAGACCATCAATGGTATAACATTTTATTATTATTATTATTATTATTATTTACTTTGCAGCACGGTTTTTATTTAATTTAAAGTTATCAATAGAGTTTCCTGATTTAATTGTCTAAGTGGTATTACTGCAAGTAAAACACTACCTGACTATGTTACCTAACATTTAAGCCAAAGCTGATCATTATTTTATTTGAAGTCAAAGTAATTCAACTTTTTTGTACTCCAAGGATAAATGTTTTTCCTGAAGACTAATACCGATGGCAAGGCAAGGTAATGCAGCTTTATTTGTTTGGCGGATTTTACACACAGAGGCAATTTAATGTGCTTTCTAGGAAGAAATGCAATGCATCATAACATTATATGTCTAAATAGAGAGGATGGTTTATTTTGGAGGAATGATGAAGTAATTGCGTGTCTACGATAGATACAATGAATAAATAAATAAATAAATCACTCATTCTTCACTGGCAGCTGCTATGACAGGCTGATGCTTCAGATAAGACCCTAATTACATCACATCTAATAATAAATATGTCATAGGAGCCAAACCAGCTTTCAGTTTTAAGGCCAATACTTCAGCTTGTTTTCTGCTGTAGAACATTTTAAGCACACACTTAGATTTTGACTCGACATGTCTCAGGCAACTTAGCTACTGGGGTCTCAATTATGGTATCTAGTTTTTCATTTTGTTTCATCGATAGTATCAGACTGGAAAAGTGACACTCTCCTCTGATCTCTATTGTTGACCCACGGTTTAGTATTAGGGATGTCTCGATCAGGTTTTTTGCCCTCGAGTAAAAGTCATTTGATTTAGAGTCCCGATTCGATACTTCTGAAATACATAAAAAAGAATAAAGAAAGCGAAGAAACCGATCCAGGATGTTACTTATTTTTATTTAATTCTGTAGTTCATTGTACCGGTTTCACAGCTTTAGTTTTGGTCTGCCTCGATACTCCAAGTGTTAGTAATTCAAAGTATTGAAATAATGTTTTCTGTAGTCCATTGTACCAGTTTTTACTGCCTTAGTTTTAGTCTCCTGACACCTTCAGCTTAATCTTGGTTTTCACTGAGTAATTCCTGCTTGACTACATTCAGTTTGCTTCTCACGTTTTCTTCTAGTTTTAGTATACATAATTCTATTGTTTGTTTTTGTGCTTGTTTGTCTTGTCTGTTCTTAATGATGTAAAGCACATTGAGTTGCCTTTGTGCAGTAAATGTGCTATATAAAAAAAGCTGTCTTGTCTTGTCTAATTAACTTAAATGATTATTTAAAGTCACAGTGTGTATTTTTTTTAACCTATTTACTATCAGATTCTGTGCATCCAGTTCACAAACTTGTTCTTTTTCCTCATTATTTGAGGCAACAGTAGCTCAGGGGTAGAGCAGGTCATCCATTAATCGGAGGGTTGCAGGTTCGATCCTGGCTCCTGCCAGAGAATGCTGCTGTTGTGTCTTTGGGCAAGACACTTGCCCAAAGTGTCCATGTGACACCGGACCCCCTGGCTAATGCCATTCCTCCTCTGTGTGTGAATCGTTGACAGCTTCAAGGCCCAACAGAACTTGCTTGATACCTTCAGGACTGATAGGTTGATATAACAATTATAATAAAAAAAATTGAATTGCTCCATCATAGTAGTTATATGTTTTATGTAGATTAGACTAATGATATTGGAAATTGATTATACTTTCAAACTTGTGCTATTTTTAAAGAACGGACCTGATCGCTGCGGTGAAAGTTGGAGGTTGCTGACATTTTGCCTTTTTGCTGCGTGGGTCACTGTAGCCGCCATACTTACTCTGAACTTCATGGCGCTAAAGAGTCGCATGTTTTTACCGTGATGTCTATAGATTTCACACATAGAACCTTTAACAACTCTGTTAACAAACAGCACTTCTCTGAGATAGCTTGAACAATCAAGCAATAACATAAATTCTTCATTTTTGCACTCCTCACCCCTGCCACGTGGACCTCAAGGAATAAACCATCAACCCTGCTCAAGGGTCAACTTTCCTAGCGGGGTCACCCATGAGGACTGTGGGAGGGATAAAGCCGGTCTTCTGTTTCCATTTTATTTATAAAGCTCATTTCTACACGGCCGAGGTCAACCAAAGTGCTGCACAGTAAAAGAGCATAAAAAAATCAACACACGGGAAGAAGTAATAAAAGTTTTACAGTAACTTCTATAAAATCAACAATAAAAATAAAACAGAGACACAGTACAATGCTAACTAGGCTGAAGTAAAAGCCAAGGAATAAAAATGAGCCTTCGGGCGTGATTTAAAATCAGAGAGAGAGGGGGCCATTCTCACTGCTAGAGGGAGTTGGTTCCAGAAACGAGGCGCACAGATTGAGACAACTCGTTCTCCTCGTGTCCTCACACGAACACTTGGGACCTGTAACAAGCGCTGACCGAAGAATTTGACCAGGTACGTAGGGCTGAACCAGCTGAGTCAAGTACAGAGGCTCATAAAGATAGAGTGACTTAAAACATAGAAGTAAAAATTTAAACTGGATGTGGTAGCACACCCAGAGCCAGTGCAGCTTGTCCAGAACAGGAGTAATGTGCTCACTCCATCTGGTGTCCATCAAAAGGCGGGCCGCCACATTCTGCACCAGCTGTAGGTGCGCAACCGAGGAAGATGTAGATCCATAAAAAAGGAAATTCGTGTAATCCAAGCAAGAGATCACAAATGCATGGACCACTGTGTGCAGGTCACGTCTAGTCAGGATGGGCTTCATCTTTGCTAGCCGGCGAAGCTGGAAAAAGCAGGATCTAACCACCTGGCTAATGTGAGAGTCCATCCGCAGCTCTGGGTCCAAAACCACCCCCAAGTTAGTGATGGTTGGCTTCATTAAGCTGCAAAAACAGGGTGGCAGGATAGGACTAACTGCAGTGGGAGAGGGAGAAACAGATAAAAGAGCCTCCAACTTAGACTCGTTCAACTGTAAAAAGTTATTATGCAGCCAGTCCTTCACCTCATTCAGGCAGTCCACAGCTGGTTGCGCCGACTCTTGAGGTTTTAATGAAACATAAAATTGGCAGTCATCAGCATACAAATGATAACACATGCCATGTCGCCTAAAAATAGCTGCCAGAGGAAGAATGTAAAGATTAAAAAGCAGAGGTCCAAAAATAGAGCCTTGGGGAACACCACAGGGCAGAGAGGAGGCCCCAGCCTCACACAAAAACTTCTGTTGCTGAGGTACGATGTGAACCAGTTCAGGGCAGTTCCCTGGATACCCACTATCTGGTTCAGTTGGGACAGAAGTATAGCATGGTCTACACTGTCAAAAGCAGCTGTGAGATCCAGCAACACCAGTAGAACATGGGAGCCGGAATCAGCGGACCGCAGAGCATCATTAAAAACTCTAAGAAGGGCAGTCTCAGTACTATGACGGAACCTTGATTGTAAAGGGTCTAAAATGTTAAAAGTCTGCAAGTGGTCAGAGAGCTGTGTAAAAACAACTTTCAGAGAAGCTTAGATAAGAATAGACTTGAGCTCAGTGTCAACAAAAACAGAGTCAAACAATCAGTTAACAACCAAAGTGTAATCATGTGAACCGATTGTAACCCCAACGGTAATATTGACTGGCTGGCTGTTGTTAAGAAGCTTACTGTATCCCTCTGCTGTGTGCACCCCCTCCTCAAGCACACCCCTCGTCCACAGAGAGGTAACTGGAGGCTGCGGCGATCAATAGTTCCCTCTGTGAGGATTTTCCCAACCAATTAGGAGATTAGCTCAAGTGCTAAGTGCAGCAGACAACAGCAATGAACAAGTGAGAGACACAGACAGATTCCACAATTCAAGACTGCAAATGTGCATGTGTGTGTGTATTTGCACAGGGAGGTCTGAGCATGCATCATAGAAGAACTGTTAATGACCAGTTCCTGCTGTGTTGCTTTTCCTCAACCATATAACATTCTGTGTTGCCGCGCAGATTTAGGACAATGGTCTGCAGGACACTGATATGTTATTTCTAGTTGGCTTTTTGTAGAGGTATTTGGCTGACACCTCATTATTTTCCGCACATCTCCAGTGGTCTCTAATATAAATAAATGCCGTGTGAGTTGATCACTGAAAAAAAAAAGCTCTATTTCACTGTTTCAAGAACTGGAAGCTAGGTGGAGCAGAGGGGAGAAGAAAACGGCACGATTTCAAGTATTATTTCCTGATCTCTGGGCATCGTGCCTCTGACTGAGCAAAATAATGCAACTCTACCACTGACTCTGTTTGCTTTGCAACACTGATGTTTTATCTCCACAAATAATGCACACCTGAAAGAGTATTGTCATGTTGTGGAGTTGCTAATGCTAACGGTTAGCTTCTACTATCTGAGACGTGTTCTAGTTCCTGGACACTAAACAAACAACAGCCTTTCCCGTTACGAGCCAAGATGGGCGAGTCCATGAATGTTAATTTTCAATGTGACATAGATCTGGCTAGCTTTTCTAATCCGAGGGTTTCACCATCTGTTTTCTAGCAGCGGCTAATGCAGGAAATAGGGGTAAAATACTTTTTTCACATTTAGCTTGCATGTTAGTCTCAGAGTGACTGATAATATTAAAAAAAAAAAAGGTGACCTTGGTTTTTAACCCTCCCACTGTCCTAATGGATGTGACCCTGCAAGGAAAGTTGAACTTTGAGCAGGGTTGACGGTTTATCCCTTGGGTCCATGTGGCAGGGGTGAGGAGTGAGCACCACCTCACCCCTGCCACATGGACCTAAAGGGATGAGCCATCAATCCTGCTCAATGGTCAACTTTCCTCGCGGGGTCACCCATAAAGACAGTGGGAGGGTTAAGGACAAATATTTGGATTACTGTAGGTTGATTTCTCATTTTCTAAAAAGTATGAACTCTTTATTCATTTTCAAATTTGAAAAATATAGAAAGCAAATAGTTTTGTGTAAATGCTGAGTAGTCAAGTGTTATACCTAAAGATTCCTCAGAAATAATCAAACCAGCTAACTAGTCTCATTCTCGTCTGTCATTGGGTGTGGTAATGCAAAAGGTAGTTTATCTCAGCCAAGAGAGAAGAGAGTGTATGTATTTTGTTTATTATTTGTTTATTATTTTAGGAACCCCGTTAGCTGCAGCAAGCTGCGACTATTCTTCCTGGGGACCTATTTATACAACTTCAAAAACAATATTTACACCCCCCCCCCCCAAAAAAAATGTATTCCGTATATGTGTGTGTATATATATATATATATATATATATATATATATATATATATATATATATATATATATACATATTTATATATATATATATATATATATAAATAAATATGTATATATATATATATATATACACACACACACATATATATATATATGTATATATATATATATATATATATATATATATATATATATATATAAATAAATATGTATATATATATATATATACACACACACACATATATATATATATATATATATATATATATATATATGTATATATATATATATATACATATAAATATGTATGTATATATACATTATTTCATACTATATCAAATTATCAATGTTCTTTTAATCTAATTTTAAATATGTTTTTACCCTTAATACGTGAGATTTCTTTCGGGAGACTATTCCACTCGTACATCCCTCTATACATTGCTGTATGTTTTGAAACATCAGATCTCACTTTTGGTAATGTAAATTTATCTTCTAAGGCATGTCTTGTATCATACAAGTGCGTATCTTTATTAAATTCAAGAGACGTATATAAAATAGATGGCATCTTTGTCTCCCTAAGCTTCCAAATAAAAATAAGCAGTGAATATAATAGTCGGTCGTTCACAAATAGCCAGTTTAGTTCTGTGTGCATATCTCTTCCATTTGCTTTATAATCCCTTTCTAATCGTGCAGCTCTGTTATGGATTTTCTGTGGTTTTCAATTGTTCCTAAATTTGCATTTGACCAAACTATAGAACAATAGTCCAAATTTGATAATAGCAATGCTTGTGTAAGATGTTTCAGAGCAGATTGATTCACAAATGGTGCACATCTTTTGGTGGAAGCTATTACACAACCCAATTTCTTTGCAATATTATTTATGTAAAGTGTGCCTCAACTGATTAGCAAACTTCAACTGATGCACACAGGGTTAGTTGTAACCTACTTGTCATGCACTGCGTTGTCTTTGAGTGTTTGTAGAAACGAGATAGTGCTAATCCGTGGGGACAGCCCCCTCAGATGATTGCTTTTTGGGAAAGCTCCACCCTGAGGAGGAGAGTCACAGTTTTTGTACAGGGGGGTCCCTCTCTGAATAACATCTCTCCTCATGAGCCAAAAAAACTTAATTCTTGTGTCTGCCTGAATTTGTCACTTTTATTTTATAATTTTTCTAACAGCTTGTTATGTTGGTTTGACAGAACAGCATTCCTGAGCAATCCCGGTGGCTGCCTGGTGGGGTCTGGGTCCCTGGGCTCTGCTGGGTCTCTGGCGGGGGTGGTCGCCCCTGGGTCCCGGGTCGCTGGGTCCCGGGCTCGGCCGGCTAGGGGGTGGGAGGCTGCGGGCAGGCCTGTGGGCTTGCCACCGATATCTCCTGGGATTCTGCCGGCTGCTGGTTGTGGCCCCCCGGGGCGATCCTCTGCGCCTCTCAAGAGGGGCGGGGGCTTTTCTGGTCGCAGTCTCCCTGGAGTTCCTGCGCTCTGGGGCAGCTCCTGGATCTCTGGGACTTGGAGCTCCCCCTGTCTCCTGCACATCTTTAGAGGACAGATCTGTGGTCTCTCACACTCTCTATTGGACGCTCCTATAGAGAAACCTTAAATAAACAAGCGCGTGTACACACACAGGTGCTCACATGATGCTCTCATAAGTATGGACTTGGGCATGTTCAACACATTTCTTAAGGCTATAGTGGGCACTAAATGCACTGTGATTTATTATCGTGTGATTGTTCAATTAAACAATGTTGATTTTATATTTCTTCATCAAGTTGACGCAGTGATAGCTTGCTCTTGTTGTTGTGTCCCATTTTTTTTCTTTCTCTTTCTGCAGGTCTAGAAGCAGATTCTTGTTCATTATTGTTTATTTTTGTGGAACCCCCCCGTTTTGTCTCTTCCTTTCTCTTTCACCTCTGTCTCCGTGTCTGGTCAGAATTAAAATGCATTCAAAAACAACAACAATGAAGTTTTATCAGGCGTGACATTAAAAGCAGACGCTTTGATGCTCCACCTGAGAGTAAATCTGTAAGGCTTGTCACCAGCATTCAGACATCAATTCTGCTTGCTTCACAGCCAGACAGGACACGGGGGGAAAAAAAAGTAATAATAATAATAATAATAATAATAATAATAATAATCTCACACAGTAATATCAACAGCAACAAAAACTTATTCTATGCAGTAGAGAGCAGGTCAAGTGTGCATTTCTGTTATCAAGCACACATCATTGTAATGTTGACTTCAGTTACTCAGCATATGACAAATAAAGTTTACTTGAGTTTTAACTTGCATATAAAGTTAGGGGATAAGATGACAGATGTATCTAAACGTTAGTTTTCAGTTTTGTACATTCAAAGAAAGTTTCATGAGACGTAAATGGCTAATTTTCTCCAGTTTTGTATGAAATACAGCATGAAGAAAAACATGAAGAAAAACAGGCTCTTACCTGAATCTGATCACCATCCAGGCAGGTCCAGCGATCAGACACAATCCAAAGAAGAAAACAAGATGAAATAACACATTTAAACACAGACAGCAGTATTATACTTTCCATAACCCCGTGTGACCCTTTCATAAGCACAGACTGTGATGGGACCCAGAGATTTGAGCTGGCAGACAGTAGAGAGTAAACATCATCTGTATGATTATTTTAAGAATGGAGACACAACTGCTCCATCTCCTTTATGTGGATGAACAAGCAAACAGCTTCTGAGAGGAAATTTGCCTATAAATTAAAGATGCACACATGAAGCTGAACACACAGCAGGATGTGCAAAGTGCTGTTAAGATTGTCTTCGTTTAACTGGGTTGTATTTATTATTAAATGTATAAATGCTGACAACACGTCAAATTAATCCACAGATATTAGAAAAGTTTGGTGAGAAATCAGACCAGAATTAGAGCATTAGAAGCTTTTAAAAATTGTAAAATAGCGTCTTTGTTGCTGTTTTAGAAACGTCTGTTTGTGACTGAGTTTATTACAACCTTTAAACTTCAAACCTGACAGGCTGGAGCCGAAATTTCATCTAAAATTATCTATTGCCTCATGATGACTTTTTCCTCATCTTCATCTCCACCAATCTTCAGCTTCAAGCCTTGAGCAGTCAAGATAACACACAGGGAAACATATTTGTTTCTTTGCTAAACATTAGACATCAAATTCGGTGTCAACCTCAGTCAGAACATAGAATTACCTGGTTCTGGCTCTAACATTGTACTGGATTTAATAATAATAATAATAATAATAATAATAATAATAATGATAATAATACGTTTATTGCCAGACTTAAAGTCCATTTTAAAAGAAACATACAGATAAAAGAAAGAGAAACAAGAAAAACACAAGAAAAGAAAGGATACCAATCAACATTAACACCATTAAAATCCGGTATAAAATCACAGGATATAACTGCAGTGGAGGTAAGGGACAACAAAACTAACTAGTTGAGATTAGGGTCGTCACGGTGTGAAAATGTAACCTCACGGTTATTGTGACCAAAATTACCACGGTTTTCGGTATTATCGCGGTATTTTTTAAACGTGTTACATTTTCACACAATTAAATAAACCCTGTATGTCAGGAAATATTGTCCTCAGTTTGTGTCTAAATTTTGCCTAAAATGTGTTATTTTGTAATTATGTTGTTTATTTGTTTACATTTTCCCCTTTAGTCTTTAAAATACCAATATTTGCCCATAACTTCGTATTTTTTGTCTGTTTGATGTCATCATTTTAAAAATATTAGATCATATGATACTCAGTACTCAAGTAGCCTTCTAATCAGATACTTTTTTACCCTTACTTGAGTAATAAACCCTATATCAGGAAAATATTGCCCTCGGTTTGTGTCCTTCCAGTGAGCTTTGCAGATGTGGGAAAATGTCATCAGGCAGTAATCGTTGTTAAATTCATAATTATTCTCGGAGAGAGACCAACTCTTATCTGCCCCTGGGAGCCCCGTAATGCATAGCGTCATTTCAACATGGCGGTGTCCGCGACACGGTTTATATGCAGGTAGCGGCGCTGCGGCTGCTTTATATAGCGACTCGTTGCATTCTCCCTCAACCCAAATCCTCGGATCATGCATTTTAGCTAAAACGCTAACGTTAGCTTGCCTTGCGTTGACTGTAGAGTTGTGGGTGATGGTCACGCAGATGTGTCATGAGATTTGAAGCGTTGCTGCCTTTCACAGACACTTTTTCTGCACATGCTGCAAACAGGATAGCCGTCTTCTATCAACTGTCCCTCGGCATTCTTCAAATATCCAAAAGATGCCCGTACTTCCCACTTTGTCTTCTTTGAGGGATAATAAATGTCCTCCTGAGCGCTGCCGTCTCCTCCTTTGGCCATTATTTCAGCTTTAGCTTCAAGAAAGTTTTGGTTGTAAACAACAAAGTGCGCATGTGCCGCCGGCAACTTCAGCAGATGATACGGTGGCTGGTAAGGGTCACCGCGCCTACACCGCAGCCACGGTAACCCACAGAGATAATATAGTTTTTAAAAAACAAGACGGTTATTATTATTGTCAACTTTTTTTACTGGGGTTTACCGCTACACCGGTTACCGTGACAAGCCTAGTTGAGATAAATCCACCCAAACTTTTTAACCAGGGCATTCTCAGCCTAGACATATAACGAGAGCAGCTCACAGTGGGATTTGAGAGTGTGACTATAATACTATTGGAAGACTCTTCCAGCCGTCTCATAAACTTGAACATTAAATTTCTTAGAAGTGCCTCAAATGTGCACACGCTCACAGAAACAAACGTTTGACTAGCACTGCCTCACCTGGGAATTTTGAGGAGGATTCTCGTTGCATCATTGTATGCCGGTTGTAACCTGTGCAAGCTAGACTTTTTATAGAATGACCACAGATGTGCAGTATGCTTTAAATAATGCCACTTTAACAGGTGTGGAACAACAGCTGAATGTCCGTGCAATGGTGTTTGCTTGCACATATAGCTTGCAGCACTGCCTGTAAATATCATCATCATCGCTCATATTGGCTGTGATAAAGTGTCCAAGATATTTCATCTTTTCACAGACTGCCAGACTGTTGCTGGACAACTTAAACACAGGAGAATTAAGCCTTTTATCCTGGGCGGTTCTGTAGATTAGAACAACACTTTTGCTCGAGTTATATTTTAAATCATATTCCGTTCCATACCTAGTACTAACATCTAGGATAGGGATATAAGAAAATATCGATATGGCAATATATCGTGATATTTTTCCCAGCAATATTATATCGATATTCAAAAGCCGTGTATCGGAAATATCGATATGGCAATATATCGTGATTTTTTTCCTGCGATTATTACATCGATATTCAAAAGCCGTGTATCTAATTCCTGAAAGAATTTACATGCAAACATTTGTGTATTTTCTTTTCGTTTTGCGCAATTCAATCGCCACCCGCTAGGTGGCAGCAGTGTGCAACGTGTTTTGTTTCCACCACTGAAATGTAAATCCCTCCATCATGGTTCAGAAACCTCATGTTAAACATATTACGTATCAGTTTGGACTGTTTATTGAACATTCTTACAATAAATTCAGTAAAAAAATAGCTTGTAACGTCTGAATGATTGTATCGCAATATATCGTGATATATCGTATCATCTCCCCTGTATCGTGATATGTATCGTATCGCCAGAATTTCAAAAATACACATCCCTGATCTAGGAGCTGCTGCAGTCCTGCACTACTTGGACTAAAACCTACGAGGTCATCCGCAAACATAAGGTGATTAATTAAAACATCACCTATCAAACAGCCTGTGTTACAAGCTCTCAGACGCCCAGATAGCTCATCAACATATAAGTTGAACAGAACAGGAGATAAATGAGCTCAATAATCAGGCAAAGGTGAGCCGTAGCCTCAGGTATCCTTGGCAACATTACCAATGTGAAAGCTTTTTTACCTTAGTATTACTATCACGGGTGTGCAGAGCAAAGCCCTGTTAGGAAAGCCCCTAGTCACAGGGAATCTAAGTCAATCAGACTGGAGATTAAAATCAGACATCTATAGTTTATTGCTGTATATTTATAAGAATATAGTTTATTTATATATCTACTCCATTAGACTCCACTTGCCATCTAATTACAGCTAATATTGTTTCAACCCCCCAAAAACAAAAAAACAAAAAAATTGTTGCTACATTTGAAAATGTCATTAGGATTATCCAGTATTCATAACGAACTACTTTAAAAGGCATATTTCCACATTTCAGATTGCCATGTTCTTCATTCTAGATCAAATAATGTACTTTGTAGCATCTAGACCTGAAAATCCAAAACACTTGAATGGAAAACGTGGAATCATTTGTCCTTGAATGAATGACATTTGACGATTCAGAAACAAAATTCCTTCTAGATGATTACAATCATTTGTTTTTTTTACCCAGAATGATAAAATTATGCATCTAATTAACTCAGCAAATGCTGAAACATTCACATAAACATTTTAAATGATGGGCTCGTGGTGGTGAAGTTGGTAGAACTGTTGCCTCATAACAACAAGGTTGCAAGTTTGAATCCTGGCTGTGTGGAGTTAGCATTACTTCCTCGTACATGTGTGGGTTTCCTCCCAAAGGCCAAAGAGTGTGTGTGTGTGTGTGTGTGTGTCTCATTTGTCTCAGTGTGTCCCTGTGTTGGACTTGGGAGCTGTCCAGGGTGCTGGAACTGAGTACAACGCCACCTAGGAACAAGCTGTTAAAAATCCATTGTTTTATCATTAGAAATCAGGAGTCTTCAAAGTAGGGCTGCTCGATTATGGCAAAAATAATAATCACGATTATTGTGACTGAAATTGAGATCTCGATTATTTAAGACGATTTTTCAATTTATGTTGATTTTATTTGTTTTTATTCAGTCATAAAATTGCTCAGGGCACAATCAGGACAAAAATAAATAAGAAACAAGATGATCACTAAAATAACTCCTGATTCCCAGTATAAAAAGACCAATATACTTATAGCTCATAGTCTATGACCCAAGGGCTATAGACCTTGGTTTAACTCATTTAAGTCTAACCAGTACAGAACCAAATACCAATATCTTGCAAATACTGACAGCAAGAATTATACAGTGGCATTTATAACAAATAAATGCAAATAAATTGATGATCACAAAATGTTGTATAACATTTATTTAGCCGTGCCAAGGTGCTGTAGGAGAGTGCACTAGCACCGTGTCCTCAGAGATTAGTTATTTATCAGCGTGAGGAACTTATTTCTACCTTATTTATAAACTATTTATTTACAGGTCCATCAGTTAATGTAATAACTGTCCCAACCACAGCTGCACCCCCCAACCCCCAACCCGGTCTCACATAAATCAGGGGCAAGCTGCAGGTGTGTTAGCCGCACGCGCACATTTAGCTGTTTTTATCGGCTCAGGAGCCCGCAGGTGCGGTGTCTGTGACTCACTCTGGTTACTCCAACAGGGAGCCGGTGTTCTGAGAAAACGTCCTAAATTGGCAAAACGTCCTACCCGTAGGATAATTTTACGGTGTTTTACATGACACAAACCCTAACCCTAACCCAAAAAATCAAGTATCAACGTCAATAAAAAGTACAAATACTTACAACTTACCTATTTTCCTGCAAATATGACAACGGAGTAGCATTCCCTTTTTGTGTTGTGCGCATATGCTCAGGAACAACGGGTAGGACGGTTTACCGGGTAGGAAAAATTCCCAGAACACCGGCTCCGAGAGACGTTTCTTTTGCGACCGACACATCACTACATCATTCCCTTTCCTAATGTTGTGAAGAACGGTCCGGAGCGCAGGCGGAGTGTTTAGCTAACCTGCAGGAAACGTCGACGACAGTTTTCCAGAAAGTAGCTAAGGGTTACCAGAGATGTTTCTGAGGTGTTTGCTAGGTACTTTTAAGATTTAAAAAGTCAAGAAGGGGGTCTGAAAAGCTGTTAGAAATAGCGTCAAAGTCACTAAGTTGGCAACAGGGAGGAGCGCTTCATTTGCAACTCAGGGCAGCGCAAGTGGGAGGAGCAAATAATCGGCTTGATTATTTTGTATAATCGTTCAAAACTCAGATCGTAATCGTGATTAAAATTCGATTAATTGAGCAGCCCTACTTCAAAGGTAGGTGTGTTGAAAAGTGAGGAGTCTGCCTTTCACCTTGGACTAAATATGGAACTACAGATGTGTAACAGATGTGCTTTTACCATGGCCATAAAGAACAAACACGCCACAGCAAATAGGTGATGTGCAAGTCCAGCTGACAGTTAGCGTGTGTGTGCGTGTGCGTGCGTGTGTGTGTGTGTGTGTGTGTGTGTGTGTGTGTACCTTCCACATGCTGGCTTCCTTCCCATAAACCACAGCCATGTTGTTGACTTTGTTCTGCGTGATGCTCCTCTTTTCCGTCTCGTTCAGCTCCTCTGAGACGAAGCCCATGAAGGAATTGTCTGGTGTGTGGGCTGAGAATGTGGGAGTGTGTAGGAAGTGAAGGACGGAGAGTGGTAGTAAAGAAGACAAACAGTCCAGTAAGACAAAAGAAGAGGCAAAAGGAGTACACGAGAGAAAAGAGAAGAAAAAAAACCCCCTAAAAACTGCTTTTTTATGTTTATTAGTTCAGTGTGTGTGATTATTGCTTCTCTAGTGATTATAAATAGTTATTGACACAGAGCCAGCTGCTGTTGGAGATGTAAGTCTAATGTGGCAGGCATGTACTCAAGTTTATCCGCTAAATACATGAAAGTTTTACCTGACTTCAAAATGTTTTATATTTAAAACTGATTGAAATGCTCTGACACGAACAGTCAGGTTTGAAAAACCAGCCAGATTTCCTTTTCCCAGAGTACGTCATCGAATTTAGAATAAATGTAATAATTGCAGCCCTGCCGAGCGTTCCTAATCGTGCAGGTTGGGTTGCTCGTTATAACTGTGGTCATTGTGAAACGTGGGCGTCTCCAGAACCTATTGTTTACGTAATGATCCTGCAGAGCGGTTGCTTCACAGAGATTCTCAGAGCTGAATGTAAAAGCATGAGACAGTAAAGTAGTCAGTCAGGAGACAAGGAGACAGACAGCTTCAAGAGCCAGTCGGATGTGTTCATAAAAGGAGGAAAAAGCGGCGCAGACAAGGCACAGGTTCAGCTTAAAGGGATGCCAGAGGCTGAGCTGTTGCTGAAAATAGAAACATGAAACAAGTCCTTCAATAAACGTGAACGAGTGGAGAGGCCTGTCAACAAAAGGAAAAAGAAGTGTTTGAAGCCATTTAAAGAGATTCACAATGTGTGTGTGTGTGTGTGTGTGTGTGTGTGTGTGTGTGTGTGTGTGTGTGTGTGTAAACAGAGTAATAACAAGTAAATAAGAGTGAAATCATTGTCCTCCGTGTGTAATCCAGTAGATTTTTTACAAGCTCCGCCCCCTGTTGGGCCAACGACACAGAAGCTAACTTCAGCTAAATCATAATCTGTTTCTCAACACCCATGTACCCTAGTATGTTCTTGTGTACTTGACAAGTATGTTCTAGGCAAGTACACAAGAAAGTCTGTTCCACCAAGTATGGGAGGATGAGGACGGCATTTGGAACAGAACCGTACTCCACTGGGTCATGGCAACAAGCGCTGCCGTTAAAAATGTAACCTGACATAAAAATAAAAGTCTGGTTTGTTCCTTAAATAACAAAATAGCAATGAATACATATTATTTGTATAATATTTGGTCTACTTTTGATCAAAACTGATAAAATACCAACGTTCTGTTAAAGCTATTAGCATCGGAGGAACTTTGGAGTCTGGAAAAACAAACAAACAAATACACAGTGCGACTTTTACAAGTTACACACAATTATTTACAACAACAGACAACTTTATATTTATGAATTAGTATTTCTAATATAAAACACTACAGGTACGATATTCTCTGATATTTGCAATGCAATGCATTATGGGACACGTTGTTGTCCCAAATCAGCAGAAGGATGCATCGCCAATAAAATAGGCGGAGCTAGAACACATCTGGGAACTCCGAGCAAACGTTTCATGATGCCTACTTTGGATTGGAACAGTACTTGGGCCAGCAATGATGACGTTTCACATGGAAGTGAGTACACACGTTCAGATAAGTAATACTGAGAAATGTCCATAAACTTTACGGAAAGTTTGCCAAGGAGCTGTGAGACTTTGAGAGACTTGCACCAGTCACGTTTCGTTTGACTGCTGAACGTTGGTTCTGACGGATCACTTTTTATTTGTTATTCATTCTGAACTCTGATGTCATCTACAAACTCACCAAAACATGAGCAGTTTACTCAAATTTGGAACAACCTGCACATGATCCCACACGATCTTTTACATTAGACCGCCAGAGTGCACATTAGTACCGGCTTCGGCATGGGACAGATACAAGTTTGCTGTTTTATCGTGTGACCTGATGTCAAAACAAGAATCAGCGCGTCTGTGAGCCACAATTTGCCACTCTGCAAAAATTTAACTGTTTAAAAAGCAAATTATTCATCTGATGAAGTGAATTTTATGTAATGGAAAACAATAAAAAACTATACTGGCAGTTTAAATATTATTCAAAAGGAACTCACGGAACATGGTCATGTACTGCCTTGGGATCAGGTTCCAGTAGCCCCAGTTGGTCCGGTAGCCATGTAGGGTTGCATATTCCTCATGATTGTAAGCAGGTTCTGTCCCAAATGTGTCGATAACTCTGATATGACATCTGGAAAGACAACACGGTACAACTGTTAATCCCACACATAACATTACCCAGACATACATTCTATAAAGTATTAAAGAGGTCCTTCACTCATAGTTTTAATACAGTGGTAGTGTTCTGTAGTAGGAATGAATGCCTTGTAAGTCGTGCTCTGGGCGAAAAAAAGCTCCGGTGCTCAGGTTTCAGCTCAGTGAACACAGCTGGAGGAAGTAGCTTCAGACAGCCGGATTTGGATCCGAGGCTTTGTGAGTTTGGTTTGTAACTAACATCTCTGCTTTAGTCCCCTTTTAAAAGAAAATATGAAACCCTAACACTGATTGATATTTTTTATGAGTTACACTGATATTTAATCTGTAAAATCAAAGTGAAATATTTTTTGGAAGTGTTCCAGTGACTACAAGTATGTCACCCAACGTTTAATCGTCAGTACTTTTTAGCACTGAGCTCTAGGGATGAGTACCGAATTCGGTACTTTTTAAGGTACCGACCGAATTCCACAGTACCGACCGAGCACCGATTCACGTCATTTCAAACGGTGCCACGTTTCGGTACCCGTCCTTCATAACGAGAACTTGCCAAGACAGCTGCGCATGCGCAAGAGCATTATGTCATCGCTCGCTGCGAGCCAGTTGTAAACAGAGCAGCATGGTAGAAAGAACGCACGCTAACGCTTGGGTCCACTTCACTAAATGTGATGGGTAACTGGGTGATGATGAAACCAGCGACAACGATCTAAGTGAGACATCCTCATCTTAATCTGCTCCGGTAGGTAAATATAATTAGCTTGATATGTTAGCTTCTGTTTCGCTAATGGTGCGGTCGCTTTCTCCACGGAACTCCGAATTCCCGACTAGAAGAGCATGAACATGCTCTAAAGTTTGGCTTCACTTTACTAAATGCGACGGGTGATTGGGTGAAGATGAAACCAGCGACAACGATCTAAGTGTGAGGCATCATCGTTTTAATCTGCTCCAGCAGCTAAATAAACTGTTTAAGATAACGTTAGCTTGGTATGTTAGCTTCCATTGCTACCACTGTTATCAGCTAATGGTGCGTTCGCTTTCTCCTCGGAAACTCTAACTTCCCAGTAGGAAAAATCAAAGAAAAAGGACAGTAAAAGGAATGAAGATACACAGTAAATTTAGTTCACAGTAAAGATGTTTGCTTCAGTTTAATTATCAGCTTATAAAACTACAAGGACGATGTTAAAATACAAACAGTTGAATGTTATTTATCGTGATATTTATCAAATATGGTTATATATTGAGAAAAATATATATTTAATTATAAAAAAGAATTAAAATAATAAACACTCAAAAGTATTGAAAATTGGTACCATTAAGTACCGGTATCGATTCCTAGGTACCGGGAATTAGTACAGAATCGATTCAAATGTCAAAGGTACCCATCCCTACTGAGCTCGAGGTTCCTCAGAAAATCTTACAGATTTTTTTTCGAGTGTCACTGAAAGCTGATGATGCATTATTATTAATATATAATGTTGCCTTCACTTGTATGTAGCCTGTTTTCCATCTTTTGCACTGTGGCGTCTCACCAGCTCTGCAATCGTTTTGTGTCAAATGATAAGAGATCCCCAAGGGACTGAAAAAGCTGAGGGAGAAGGGATCAGTAGAGGAGTAGCTGAGCTGAATATCTATTGGAAGATCAGAGTAAGGGGCTAATCTGGGTTAAACAGTTGATCAGCAGGGCCCTGCAGTCCTCCAGAGTGAAGGAAATAAGGCAGGGTGGCATGCTGTAACCTGATGTAACCGTGTTGGAGGAACAGAGGCACCACTGGAGAACATCATTAGCTTCAATCTAAACATAATAAACAAGCAAGAAAATAAATACATTAACTCAAGGAAAACTTACAGTTGGATGCTCTCAACCCGAGAAGTATTTCAGTTCAGAGTCAAAGCTTTGGGTTATACTAAAGTAAACACTATCATGTTAAATATTAAAGGTGTTTAAACAATTCTGTTACAAAGCAGCTTGATTATAGAAAATTATAATTGTGCTTATTTTGATCTTTAGTGGATTTACAGTGGAGCTCACATTACTACAGGCACTGATTTACATTAGCAGATGGCTCACCTGTACTGTCTGATTAAAACTTAAAGGGAAAACGAATAAACAAAAGTTAATTTCATTACACTTGAATAGATATGAATCACCATGATCAAAAACAGACCCATTTAGAAGAAACTAACTAAAAGTTAACGTGCTCCATGATCAGTCAGTCACAGGAAGGACACAGATATGGTGCTATGGGCCCTGGCTTTGCTGCAGATGGCTGAACGTTTTACCCCATTATCAACAAAGCGTTGATGTTTTAGCAACAACCCCTCTGTAGCTAACTTACTATATAATTCATGTCCATGGGCTCAAATAATGACATTTTGTTTCCAAATGGGAGGTTCCCACCACCACCATTTTGACTGTGTCACATTTCCCGTCACACCCAGATAATCCAAAAATGGGAAAAGGGGTGGATCTGAAGGTGGGACTATTATGGTTGAAACAACGGAGCGATGGAGGTAAATGCTCGCCTTGTTACACGTTCGAGCCCCACTAAAGCTTGGTTTATGCTTGGCGCATTCACTTTCCGCGCGGTGATGCGGCTCGTGGATGGAACGCGCTTCACAACTCGCAGCGTTTATGGTTCATGCGGCTCGTCTCTGCGGTGAGCCAATATTCTCCCAAACTGCAGGGGGCAGCATGGAGCTCTACGGTATGCATCCAACACTACACCATAGTAGAAGTAGAAATGACTGTTTACAACATGGCATTCCAGCATTTTTAACAGCGTCCTCGTCTTTTCCGACAGTGCGAGCTATTTCTCTCCAAGAATTATTAACAACATGTTGATCACGGTGATCTCTGAGAGCTGAATCTTATGGGCCATTCCCATCTGTACCGGGTCGGCCCGGGCCGGGTAGCCCCAGTCGGCCCCAGCCTGGCCCGGTTGATTCCACACATCCTTGCCTTAAGCCCATGTGGGCTGATTCTACCCACCAATCAGAGGCTTGCTCTAATGGAAGGTGTGAATGGGCTGATTCTACCCACCAATCAGAGGCTTGCTCTAATGGAAGGTGTGAATTTGCTGTCAGCAGTGGGCGTATTGGCCCTGGTCGGCCTGAAGCAGTACCCCTCGGGAAGAGGGCCGAGAATGAGCCTTGGTTGGCCCGGGAAAATTCCAGGCCACCCAGATATGTAAACAACCTACGCTACCTGGCCCGGGCCGACCCGGTACAGGTGGGAATGGGGCTATACAAATGTCTGTATTTACCAACCTCTGCCGTGCTAGTTCTTGCCGGTCCGCCATGTTTTTCTGCGTCCGTCCGTCCGCGTGGTTAGAAATTTTCCGAGGTGCACGTTGCGGAAATTTTGAACTGTGCGGAGACGCGGTGGAGGGGTGTAGTTGTTAAAATGACGCAAAATGACGCAACTTTTCCACGTGGAGCCGTGTGGACCTCGCGGACGCGTCAAGCATAAACCAACCTTAAGTCTGTAGCCGTGTTCTTGGGCAAGACACAACCCACGTTGCCTGCTGGTGGTGGTCAGAGGGACCAGTGGCGCCAGTGTGCAGTAGACTCGCCTCTGTCAGTGCGCCTCAGGGCAGCTGTGGCTACATTGTAGCTCATCACCATCAGTGTGTGAATGTGTGTGCGAATGGATGAATGATACACTGTAGTATAAAGCACTTTGGAGTCCTTACTCTGAGAGGTGCTATACAAGTGCGGGTCATTCATCATTTATATCAAACACAGGCCATTACAAATGAACCAATGTAGCTACTATCTAACCCAAGAAGCTAAGAAGAGGCTCCAGGGAATAGGGTAGCCCACACGCTTGGCCGACTGGCTTCCGTACGAGGCTGTAGACGTGCTGGTCGCCTGTGGAGATCAAAAATAGACCGGGTCTGTTAAATTACAAGCAGAGCATCAGAGCACTGTGATCACAGCCGGGCGCCCTGGCTACATAAGTCAGCTCATGCTCCACGATCGGAGATCAGCGGGGCATTAGCTACATGCTAACCCGAAGCTAACAAAGTTTTTCCAGGCGTTTTTAGCAAGAAAACTGCGGTAGAGCGACTCCAAAGTGAAGGCACCTCCAGCCTACTTTGTAACGAAATCATAACTGCTGACTGCGGATATTGGGCAAGCGGGATATGGTAAACATTTACCCCATTTAACTATTAGCGAGAAAAATGTGGTTGAGCGACTCAGTAGTGAATCAGTGTTCACTAAAAGGGCCGCAGTGTTTCTGTGGTCTTTTTCAAAGATCTACGAGTGACCAGCATGAATACAGCCTCGCATCGGAGCGGTTCGTGAGTCCGGCTGCCCCGGGAAACGGGAACAGCCAGCTGCCTGCTCTAGCAACTGTACCAGGCAGGAGACAGGAGAAGCTGGGCACCCGCCCAAGGTCCGTATACAGCCCCACTAACATGTTTGAATAACGACACAGCATCCCCCCATTCAACCAGCAAAATAAAGTACAGAAATATAATTTTACTTACTGCTAAAAAGAAGCAGAAATTGCTTGGATGATCTGTGCAATCAATAACCACAGATGGCCCTCTGTGTCCAAATAATTCTACAATTAATGAACACACAGACGAAACTAAAGTTCAGAGAGACGAAATGATCAAACATCTATTAACGTGAGTCCGGCTGAGGCCTTTCCCCGGCATTTTTAACATGTAAGTCAATGAGGATTTGCTCACTTCTGCTCCCAGCCCCTAGTGGCTGAGGATGGAATTGCAATTTGAGCCACTTCCTTGGCTTAATTTTCATACCAGAATTATGGGGGCCTGCTTCTACTGGGGACATTTTGGTGCATCACTCACATCTTCTGCCTGTGCTGCTATTTGAGCATACTTCAGGCTTTCCCACTTGTACACCGGCCATGGAATGACGTCTGGCTTAAGGTTAGCTTTTGCGGTCTCTGTTAGGAAGACCAACCCATCGACATGGTTAGGCACTGACCAAATCGAGGAGAGT